AGCGCAGGCACTTACTTACTTGGAGGCTTAACACTCCTTGTCACTCTCCTGACGGCCCCAACCACGCCTGGCTGGGGAAGGGGGAAGTCTGCATTTCTGAGATCTGTTCTGCAGTACATAAGAACGGCCATACTGGGTCAGACCAAAGAGCCGTCTAGCCAGTGTCCTGTTTCCTGACAGTGGCCAATGCCAGGTGCCCCAGAGGCAGTGAACAGGACAGAGAATCATCAAGTGATCCCTCTCCTGTAACCGGATTCCAGCCTGACAGAGGCTAGGGACACCATTCCGACCCATCCTAGCTAATAGCCATTGATAGACCTATCCCATGAATTTATCTAGTTCTTTCTTCAACCCCGTTAAAGTCCTGGTCTTCAAAACCTCCTCTGGCAAGGAAGTTCCACAGGCCAACCGTGCGCTGTGTGAAGAACAAACTTTGTTTGTTTTCAACCTGCTACCTATTAATTTCATTGGGTGACCCCTAGTTCTTATATTAGAGAACCTCAGTCCTAAGGGCTGGCAAGCTGATCCCCGTTGCATACACTAAATTCACCAATGGACTAATCTTTTGCTTCAAGCTCCACTGGAATAAAAACAAATCTTTTCAAGGCAAAATTTTGGGAATGGGTTCTTTGTTCCATGATTTCTACATAACACGTGTGTAATCTGGGTTCTTCTGAGCAAGTTTTGCCTGTTTGAACTGGCCGGTGATCGTTCAGCTCATTAGTGAATAACGAATTTAACACTTTCATTGACTGCAACCTTGCTAGAGACAAGGGCTGGTGTTTCTGCATAAAACTTTTGCTGCTGCTTACTAGTGTCACATCCATTTGCATGGTGTCTCTCCTGATGTCAATGTGTTATCGCTCTATCTATAAAGGCAGCAGCTCTCTGCCAAAGGAAGGTAAGGATTATATGCTCACTCTACTCATGTTTACTAACCAAAATTAATATTTTGCTTTAACTGGGTAACCTACAATAAAGTTTTTCTGCCAAGGGTATTAGCCACTCAGTGTAGGCTTTAATAAAACAGATTCAGTCATCTCAGATCAGTCTCCAAGGCAGAGTGACAATTATTATTGTTTAGTTAGAATTCACCAGCGGTTGATATTGATCTCTCTGGCAGATGAAGCTATGAACTTCTTCCCAACATACACTGGCTGTGCATCTTAATACTGGAATCCGATTGTCCTATGTAGCCACTTTTCAGCTGCAGCATAGAGGCTCTTCATTCAATTTTGCATGCAGCAATGGTGACATCTAATGGTGGAAACATTTTTTTCCATGTGCAAGCCCCAGAGATTTTGCCTTTCACATCATACTTCTAGTAGTTCAATAGAGAGCTACAAGCTTTACTGATGTACTACAGAATTCACTCCAGAACTTCCCCTCTTCCTCCTGTCACCATGCAGTAAGGTAACCAGACTGAAATGTTTGGCGTCCAGGGGAAGCCCAGAGAACAAGCATGCAGTTTCATTCAATTCTTTCTGATGTAAAATGGATATGCACATTCCTGACTGATTTGGATCTCGTCTGAGGTTTAAACTGGTCATAGCTGCTATTCAATGTTCACCCTTCTCAAACAGAGGCGTATGGACTGGCTTGGCCACGTCTCACGTATGTTGGATGGCCGAATACTGAAGGACCTTCTCTTTGGTGAACTGGCGTCTGGAAAGAGGCCGAAAGGGCGACCTAAATTGCTATAAGGACACGTGCAAGTGTGACCTCAGCGCTCTCTCTACCAGTGCGAACAGCTGGCATTCGCTTGCCTTGGACAAGTATGCCTGGAAACAGGGAATGAAGGAAGCTCTTGCTATGTATGAAACTACCTTTGTGAAGGAAGCAGAAGATAAGAGAGCCCTCAAGAAGATCCGTCGCTCTGGTATCACGGGCACATCTGCCTACTGCTGCTCACAGTGCGGAAAGGACTGCCATTCCTGGATTGGACTGCACAGCCACAGAAGACGCTGCTCGAAATCAGTCCAACAGGGGCGCAAAAACCCATGATCCTTCGGGATCGAAGGAGGCCTACGAATGAGCTGCTATTCAAAGCACAGACTGTTCTGCTGAAGCAAAGTGTTAACTGGCACTTCTATGAATAAGCTCTAAGGCAGTGGTTCCCAATCTTTTTTATACTGTGAATGGGTTTACTGGTCCACAAGCTTTTGGAGGACTGGTAACATATTTGCATATTCATTAAGCAAATGATGAATATGCAAATAAATGGTGTCTGGTCCTCCCAAAGCCCCCAGCGCCAACAGGAGCGGGCCCGGTCCACTGCCCTAGCCGGTTTCCTGACCCCAACCCCGAGGTTTCTACTTCATCCCCATTTGGGACCAGTAAGATTAGAAGGTCCTTCTCTGGCCTGCTGGGAGACTCGGCTCGTATGGGCCCTGGAGTTCGGGTGAGTAGCCCCGTGTCCTCTCCCCCGGTTGCGCCTGTGTTTGTGGGTGAAACCTCGGGCCACGTCGCCGGCCCTACCTGTCAGGAGGGTTGTTCCGCTCTCCTCCTCTCCCCCAGCCCCAATCCCAGCCGCATTATCGGCCGATGCCAGCTCCCCCAGCTGCGTCCAGCACCGGGCGTTCTGCATCAGTGCGCATGGCACCCGGCCTTCTCCCTGGGTCCTAGCACTCGCCAGATCTAGCCCCGCTGCTTGGAAGCATGCCCAGCAGAGATGCCACGGCGACGGGCTCTCTTCCAAGAATCATGCACCAAAATTTTTCTGAGGACGGGTATTTTTTTTTTCTAAGGACCGGTACTAGGCCGCAGACCACACTTTGGGAAACGCTGCTCTAAGGGGATGCATCTAAAACAGCGGTTCTCAAAGTGCGGTCCACCTTTACAGGTGGTCTACGGCTTTGGGTCAGCTCCCCCCCACCCACCAGGGG